TAATATATTATATGGTCTCTGATGCTTATCAAGGTGAGATGAATATATTACATGTTACCTACTAGCATGTTAATACCACCAACCATGCACAGTACATTTTTGGTGTATAACAAAGCATATCTGTTACACCAAACACATGCTCACCTTTTACATGTTACCTCCCCCAATAAAGAAGATGCTTTCCTTACACTTGAATGCTATGTTATGTAGATGTACTATAAGAAACAGTCACATTTCATTGTTTTCAAATGAGTTCAGTTATACAATATTATACAGTGTCATATCTGGGTTGTATTTCTCACTTTTGCTGCAAACATTGTAATATGTATTGCAGAAAACAAATTCCAGTATTTGAGAGATGATATTATGTACTATACTAGTATATCAAAGGTTGATTATAATCAATGAATTGCCATCATCTTTGGATATGAGTGTTTGTCTGTTTCTAGACTTGCTTGAACTGAATTGGTGAAAGTGGAATTGGTTAAAACTGTCTGTTAATGGCTGAATCAAGTGAATAGAGACCAGCTTGAGTTAGCACTGACTGTGCAGACTTGCCATAAACATGTCACCAGATGCTTCCCTAATTGCTACTGAGTAGCTGTCTGTTCAGATCTGCTGCTGCTCACCAGATTGTTGAAACAAGAATTCCAAGGAGGAACTGACTCTATGAAAGGTGTGAGAACCTACTGTTTATTTGAGCAAGGTGGTTATCTCATATAGGACATTTTGTGGGAGAAATAATAATATTTGTGAAATAATTTGTAAATCTGTGAATGAATTTGGATGGGAATGTATATGGTTAGGTAATTTCTTAATTTTTGCAATGCATGTAAACAGATAATGTTGTCTTGATTTTAACCCATGTATACAATATGTTGAAAAGTTGTGACCCATTAAGGTATTAAATATGAATTTGGATTAATATGTATACCATTGGACAAGTAAATTTAAGAAGGACTGTGGAGTAAGCTCTTACCTTGAAAAGTTTTGTTTGATAGACTGACATGTTCAGCAATCCAGTGATTTTGGTTGTTAAATTTGATAAAATGAATTAAAATATATTATATATGTGGGGTTTTATCACTTGTTTGTCAAGAACAAAGCAATGAAGAAAAATCATGAATAATATACATGTAGTTATAAGTGTGCAGTTATAACTGAAGATGGGAACAGTAATTATGAAAAGTAATGCTTGCCATTTCCTAACCTATCTAACAATCTTAATAGGTTACAGGAATATGCTTGAAGTATTGAGCTCTTAGACTGCAGCACAAGTCTAAAGTTTCTTATATTCCATGACTATCATGACCATTAACTTCCTCATAGCTAATGGTATGACATACCTATGATGCAGCTTCCAAAACAAAAACACTTTTGAGTAGTATTTCATTGTTAAAATGAACAACAATGTCATGTACTGTGTGCTCAATCACAACAATTAAGCAAAATTCTGGATGTTTTCTGTGGAAATAACATTCATTTCATTCTATACAATATTTTAAATGCATTCCATTCTAAAGCCGATTTCTTCAATGTATTTCTTATGTATTAAAGAACAATAAAAATAGAACAAGAACAAGAAATTTATTCAGTATCAGAGGTCACATGGCCAAGAGTACAAAGCATTGGATCACCCATGTGCACAAGGACAGGTGGGACAAATGTTATTCCATCTTAATGCAGTGAAAATGTATAGCTTTTAAGATATGGCATATTTTCGTATGTAATGCACATAATAATTAATGAAACATTAGTAGACCAGCATTTGTGTATTTATTGCTTACTATATTTAAGATTCTTTTTTTGTCAGATACCCTACAAGGCTAAATATATTTGGGTATGACATGAAGCAGCATAGTGGCACATATGTTACTGATATTGAATATCTTAAGATATTCGGTAAAAGTGTAGGTCCTGGATGTGATTTTAATTGTTTCTCTTACAATATAGAAATCTATACATTGTGAAAGAATAGTGATAATGAGTAGTTTGGACTGCTTGGTATTCTTCAATAAAATATTTGTTATGCAGATCAGGAGCAGGTATGTGGAAATATATGGGATATCCAGCTTATATCCAGTGCAAATCATCAACCATAGGAATGTTCAGTAATAGATGGTAGAAAAATGCCTATAAATGGGTTCGGTCATAGAAATACCAGCACGTATATATGTCTAAAGTGAAATGGTGTGTGAGCTTGCGCTTATGATTAAGGCACTTAAAAAGAAGAGCGAGTGAGTGAGTATGGTTTTATGCCACTTTTAGCAATATTCCAGCAATATCAGCGAACAGGGTCTTCGGGCGCCTTTAACAACTAGGCTACCCCACCTCGCCAGAAGAAGAAGAAGAAATTATTTTCTCAAAGTGTCACATGCTGTGGTACAAAATGTATAGATATAGTATGATACATTTAAAAGAGCACCCGCCAGTTGGCCCTCTGAGACACTAATTACTTGATGGCACAAATAAAATATAAAAGTGAATAAGATAGTTATAACAACAACACATGACGCTTGCACGCGACGCACGCGACGCGACACACACACACACACACAGTAGGTAGGTTGTGTCAAACACCAATAAATGTTACAGGTTTTTAAGCAGCTATGAAGATATATGTGACTTGCATCTGCATGCATAATGCAGCATATCCAATACAACAAAAGAAACCATTCTCTTCCCCCCCCCCACCCATCCCACACCCAATTCACGGGGTCATGTTGTAAATATTTCACTCTCTCTGACTTGTTAAGTTATAATTAAACTTTTGAATCATGCGAGATTATGGTCTGACAAAAATGTTCCTCATATCAGCAGATTAATGATGAAACCCATGCCATGCCGACATTATCTTATTCTCATCTATTTTTGCAATCTTTTGCTCAGTTTCTACATTCAAATTTCTGGCTAGTGAATTATTTTGTGGGCTAGTAACTTTCAGGCATAGGTAGCCCGACTGGGTAACAAAATTTGGAAACCAGTTAGCACACTGACTTGTAATATACTCATGCCAATAATGGTTGTCAAGTATTTTTAATTGGAGAGAGCAGTTGTGTGTGTGTGTGTGTGTGTGTGACTGTGTGTGTATGTGTCATGTGTGTAATGTGTGTGTGTGTGTGTGTGTGTGTCTTTCATTCCATTATTGGCATAGTTTTATAACATGCTATATACCCCCTCCTCACCTTCAGTCTGAATGATTAGAACTGTCGCCCTTTCATTCTGTGTGGGTTAGTTTTATATCCGATATACACTTCCCGTCTTTCATTCTGTGGGGGTTAGTTTTATATCCCATATACCCTTTCCGACTTTCATTCTGTATGGTGTAAGTTATATATCCGATAGACCCTTCCCGCCTTTTATTCTGTGAGGTGTAAGTTATATATCCCATATACCCTTCCCGACTTTCATTCTGTGAGGTGTAAGTTATATATCCGATAGACCCTTCCCGCCTTTTATTCTGTGAGGTGTAAGTTATATATCCGATATACACTTCCCGCCTTTTATTCTGTGAGGTGTAAGTTATATATCCGATATACCCTTCCCGACTTTCATTCTGTGAAGTGTAAGTTATATATCCGATATACCCTTCCCGCCTTTTATTCTGTGAGGTGTAAGTTATATATCCGATAGACCCTTCCCGCCTTTTATTCTGTGAGGTGTAAGTTATATATCCGATATACACTTCCCGACTTTCATTCTGTGTGGTGTAAGTTATATATCCGATATACCCTTCCCGACTTTCATTCTGTGTGGTGTAAGTTATATATCCGATGTACATGTATACCCTTCCCAACTTTCATTCTGTGAGATGTCGTATGATGACAATCAATGACTGTTTACCAACAACATCGCACACCTGTAATACTGCTGAAACAAATACATGCTCATGATATAGTCAGAATTGTACATTCGACTCTGCTTTTAGTAGAGATTACTTATGGACGTGGAAAAGGTTTGGCCTCTTCTGTTAATATATCCGATATACGCCCTTCCCTCCTTTCATTCTCTGTGATGGAAGTTATATATCCGACACATACCCCCTCTTGCCTTTCAGCCTGAATGATATTACAATATTTTGTTTTCAACACTTTTATCTAAGGGATAGTTCATAATTGATGTGGTGTGATGCTGATCTTTATGGAGAAGCATGTGCAACGTGAATGACCCACTCCCCTTACAATTTATGTACAAAGTATGTGACACCCCCCATGCAGCATGTAAAGTACAAAATCAATGACCGCCCTCCCAGGCCCTCACTATTCCCATAATGTCTAAGCATCGTTTTTAAATTTTGTCATGTACAAAACATCACTCTCTCTCTCCCCCCTCTCCCTCTCTCTCCCACTCTCTCACACACTCACACACACACACCACCCCTAGTATTTGTGTACAAAATGGGTGACCCCCCTAAAATCATCATCACCCCCCACACCCCCAGCCATAAATTATAAACGGTCCCAAATGTGATTTGTTTGGCTTCAGCTTTGAGCCGTACCCAATACAGCTGAACTATGCAACCAATTTAAAGTAAAGGATCATTTAAAATGCAGCAAATTCGGTCACAAACACCTGAATACGGAAATGTTTTCACAGTTACATAGCTTATTACGACAAAAATCAGAATTATTTCAGAACACAATAGAGTGTGAACTATTTCCATTAACGTGGCCGATTATATGATATTTATTACGTGATGTAAATTACATGATGCTTGCATTATAAAACAACAAAGTTAATGAAAATGAAACGTCGTACACCATGAGAGGTTTGCTTGAGTGGGAATTGCCACACGATATAAACGATTGAATAACTGACGAGTACAAAAATAATTAGAAACTCTTAAGGTTCTTCCAACCTATATTGGAAAATTAAATGTGAGCTACATATTTGCAGAGGAATATGGAAATATGTAACTGATAATTTTCAGTGTCTCCTCACAAAACATTAACTAAATCATATTCCGCGCATAGATCGCCTTAAGTTTTAGAGTTAACCGGGAGCAGTACTGCAGTAAATAGGGTTTTACGAAATTGTGGACTGTTTATCCCAGTTCTGGTCGTATCCCAGTTCTGGTCGCTACAGACGTAGTACACGTTGTACGTGTCGCGTCGTATCATACCCTCCATGCCCCCCAGGAGCTGCTGTGGTGTGGTGGTACAGCCTTGACAACTCGAGGTCATCAATGACGCAATAATTCCCATCATTCAGACTACACGGACCTTTGTCTGATGGAGTCTTGTCTTGACCATCTCTTGTTGAGGATTCAGATAAATCTCCCGGAAAATGACCGATGTGTCTATTAGATCGTGTCTTCATCTTAAAGCGGTACATCTTCTTTCTGAAACGAGAAAGAAAGAAAAACATAGTGCAAATATCTTGCACCTGTTGATAAAAATGTACTATTTGACTGCCTTATATATTTTAGTATAAAAAAATATCAGTCATGTAAACACCGAGGATATTAAATTATTATGAATTCACCGAGGATATGAAATTTTTGATTCTCCACATATTATATTCTGGAGAAGAATCGAACCTGGGCTACAGTTGTAACACAACCAAGTTCACGAAATGCATGGTTATAATGTTTGTTTGTTTTTTAAGAATTTTATCAAATATTAGTATTGGTGTCATTAACTCACGTTTTCAGTGTTATAAATACAAGTATACCACATGCTACTATCACCGCCACGGCACCCGCTGTCACAGCTCCAGCTATGCATGGAAAAAAGAGATGATTAAAGCATTATATACAGATAATAACACATACCATCGGTAGGTAATAAGAATATAACTGTTTCATCCACGGTTATCTCGCAGCGATAAACGTTTAGGATTGTTAAAACAAATGAACAGGCGGGTATGCGGAAATATATATACACAGTGAGAAAAGTAACGAAACACCTATGATTTGTAACCCCACATAGCACCTATATTCATATCATAATTATGTTTGATTATATGATTGTTTTGACCATTTGGGTGCAGGATACATTGATTGTTGATATACACATGCTATCATAGAAGACGAACATCAGTAGGTGTATCCTTCATTCGGCAAATGTTTCAGTAAACTTTCAGTAAACTGTTATAATTTTAACTAAATATTCTATAACTGTAGAATGTTGGCATGCCATTGTGGGCTACTGCAAGAGATCTTGGTTGTCATCCATCGACTATCAGCCGATTGGCCCAGAAATCATCACTAAACTTATGACCTAAAGGATCATCAGGTTGACGAGTATACATCTCTTCTCAGAATCACACACTTTATGTGAAGTGCCTTCCACATGGTCGTTTGTCCAACAGAACGGTACGAAATCGCCAGTAAATCGGCCGGTGTAGAACCAGATGGCCTATCAGATGTCATTTGTTATCCCCGAGCACAAAGCATCACGGGTGTCAAGGTTGAGGTCACCGACATTTGAGGTCATGGAGACTGACGGCTGAACTCGTGTTTGGCGTCGCAAAAATCACAGCGCATTACGGAATATAATGGACCAAATACCTTTTGGCGTTGCTGTACCACATTTCTTCGACCGCAATTGTTAACGACATACGACCATAGTTATCAACCAAATGAGTCAGTTTTTATGCATGATTTCTTCTATGAACAAAGCAGTTTTTCTTTTATTTCATTTCGATTTGCTATTTAATTATTCGTTAATTATTCAATTTATCTAGATAGTAAGTACAGTTGAAGTTTGGATACGTTCCCGTTGCAATAGCTAATTAATTGGTTAACATATTGATACTATGAACAATATGAGGTGTTGCGACACTTTTGTCTATGTGTATAAAAGCATGGTCGACCTACGATAAAATAGATTAAAACCAAAGATATTAAGATTTGAAATAAATTTACTTCATACAGACATGGTTATAGTGGGAGCATTGAATACATGAATACATCACTAATATTTCTGTGAGTTATACCACGCGTATGGGGCGGTGGGGTAGCCCAATGGTTAAAGTGTTCGTTCATCACGCCGATGACCTGGGTACATTGTGCCAAGCCCATTTCTGGTGTCCACCAGGTGATATTATTGAAGTAGTGCTAATAGCGATGTAAACAAACTCACCGACTCCTTAAGCGTGTCGGAAACTCTAGTTGGCTCCATTCCTATATTTTGCTATGGTATATTTACCTAGTTTTGTCAGCACTATACAGCACAAAATATATGTTCATTTAATGTTTAGCTAAACTCTAATACAACTGCCAGCGACTGATGGGATGGTGTCAATCCAGCTAGGGTCTATGCAGGTAGCAAAAGCACTGTAAGTCCGCATGGTCCCTAGTATGGTGATCTACCTTCAGTTGTTGGCGACCTATAGCCATGTTTGTATTGTACTGTTAAAGATAGAAATAGTGTTTTATGCTTATTACTTTACTGTCCTTTGCAGACAGGTAAGTATCTAAGTTTGTTTTTTTTAATTCATTTATACATTTACAAATTACAACTTTCATAGTCACGATATGGCTGAGATACTGCCGATGTGACTATAAATTTTAACTCACTCACTCACCCAAGAGGTACACGTGAGCGACCTGCATTACTACTCGCTGAGACGCTGTAATATACGTGAAGTACTTAGTAAAGCGGCGTTAGAAATATCTCACTTGATGTATGCACGTGTAGAAGAATGCGATAAGCGATCACCACCTACACACATAAAGTGACTAAACTGAGGCTTTCATGGTTTACCTGTTACATATACAGGAGTTGTCACGAGGTCGGTCCCTGGGCTGGCCACTGTGGGTAGTTCTAAAGATAAAAATATGTAATCTATTACACATGAAAGAAGGGAACTTCAAGTAAAGTGTGTAACGTGCGTCACCCAATGGAAGGGCGGTGGGTAGCCTAGTGGTTAAAGCGTTTACCTGGGTTCGAGTCTCCACATGGGTACAATGTGTGAAGCTCATTTCTGGTGTCCCCTGCCACGATATTGCTCGAATATTGCTAAAAGCGGCGTAAAACCAAACTTACTCGCCCAATGGAAGAGGTCAGATTAGGTAACTATGGTGGACGTAAGAGGCGACTGTTGTAAAAAAAAAAGGGGGGGGGTGAGGAAAGAGAGTTTAGCAGAATATCCGCCATTTTGATTTATGACGTCACATAGGTGTGACCTTTGTGTGACCTAATCAATTGTTGAACCCTTAAGCCCCACCCTCATTTGGGAGTCCCCTTCCGACCCAGGTGTGTGTCATCTTCAGGTTGACCTCATTTCACAGGGAGACAATGTAACAAGCTGACCTTGGGATAAACAACTTTCCCAGAGGTACCAACACAAGCACCACCTCCACAAGCACCACCAAAACCACCACCACGACAAGCACGACCACCACAAGTACCATCACCTATGATGCAACCAGTGCATTGGAAGAATTTAGGCTGCGCCATCCATTCACCATGATCGTCTCAGGGCCCACCTCCTGTGGGGAAACCTACTTAGTGAAGCAGCTTCTAGAAAGGATGAACATTAAACCTCATCCTGAACGTATTATATGGCTCTACAAACAATGGCAGCCACTGTATAACACCATTCAAGCCTGTGTTTATCCTTACGAGGCATTCCTTCTCACCTCAAAAGGATGCGTTTCTGGACCCCAGTGTTGTGAATGTGGTTATCCTCGACGACTTAAAGTCCACTGCCAGCAAAGATCCATGCACTACAGATCTTTTTACTGAAGGAAGTCATCATCGTAATCTCTCAGTGATATCTTTGAACCAGAATTTGTATTACAGTAAGGATCCCACATAATGAAGAAACTGTCATTATCTGCTTCTGTTCAACAACCCTATTGATCAAAAACCCATCATGACTTTGGCGAGGCAAATGTATCGAGGTAACACAGACCATTTCATGGAGCCATTTCAAAGGGCTACCCAGAAACCTTATGGATACTTGTTGGTTGATCTAAAACCCAAAACACCTCCCGACTTGCGACTTTGTCCCAATACATTCAGTTTAAAAGGAGGCCTTCAAGCTAGGACGATTCAGTCCGAGTTAGACGTTCAGAGTGAGCAGACGTGTGTAGAAAACCTCCCAACAATGTCATCTTGTGATGACTGTGGACTCGTGTTTCAAGACGTGCATGATTTGCAAAAACATAGAAGAAACTGGTGTCCTGAAAAGTCTTCAGTGGGTCCACCTGAAATACCTCAAGTTAAAAGGAAGTGGGAGGAAGACGACAACTTCTCTGCTGTGAAGAGACCACGTCCTCTGTCAGATTGTGACTATTGTGGTCAAGTGTTTAGTAATAACCACAACTTACAAAGACATTTACACGATAAACAATGTCCTGAAATGGAAAATGATGATGATGATAATGATGATGATGTATCGTTAAGCGATGTCACACAAAACAACAGGTAAAATAAGATGGCTGATCTCAAAGAGCAAGGTATAAGACAAATGTATTCACGTACACGTGAGCTGAATAAAGACTTTTTTGGATGAGAAACAACTGCTGTACACAAAAAGAGGTTTACATGAAGACATGATTCAAGCAAACTGAAAAAAATTCATCTGGAGCACGTTTAAAGAGACGTATGCCCGATTTATTACTTACATGTATCATATGCAGTGGGGTCCAAAGCCACAAGGAATACTGAAAGGTGTAGGAGACACAAATAATCTGTATCATGACGTGTTTTCCAAACTGTACCAATATAAATCTTGGGTAGAAGACTTAATTGATGATGATGATGAAGACATGACATCTGATGTAGAGAGTGAAGGACAAGACGATGAGGAAGGGCAATAAGACAATTAGCACAACATGTAAAGTAGACATTTGAGAGAGCTCCTATCCGAAAGCCCACTAATTTGAAACGGAGCTAATAAACAATGAAATCTGTATATCTCTTTGTTTTTTAATGTATTGTACCCGTGAAGGTCCGGGTTAGAATGAATCTTCAGTAACCCATGCTTGTTGTAAGAGGCGACTAACGGGATTGGGTGGTGGGGGCTCGCTGGCGCAGGTTGACACATCTCATCATCATATCGCAGTTGGGTAGATCGATGCTCATGCTGTTGATCACTGGGTTGTCTGGTCCAGACTCGATTATTTACAGACCATAGAGCTGGGATATTACTGAGTGCAAGATAAAACTAAACTCACTCACTCACTTAATGAATTGCTGGAGGATTGACATTAGACAACTGTTCGTTGTACAAATCTTTGTTTTACAACTGATAAATAATCCTCCCTATGTCACTGAAAACATTTAACCTACAATACAATTCTTAACACCAGGAGGTCCTTACCTCTTCATACCCACACAATATAGTCACAAGAAGCTTACACCAGTATTTCATTGTACTGTCTGTGGAATAAGAGCGGCTAACGGCATGTGAGTAACCTATGTGTCACATGATGTCAAAAAAGTGTCATATATAGTATTCATGGACATAAGATGGGTTTTTTATGTTTGCAATTGAGAGTAAAGTTCAGCTTTAAATTTTTTAGTAAAAGCACTGGAAAGTTTTACAGAAGAACACATGTAGGTTTGTTTTCTTATTCAGTAATATATATGACAAATGCTAAATCATTTCATCACTGTACAACCACTTGACACCCTACTTGAGATATTCAGTGACCATCAGTCCTCAACTGCTTACTATTTCCTGTCTTTAATTCAGGTCAGACATTTCTCTCCCTAGATAACGGAAGCTGACCACTTGTCAGCATACATTCATTGTAGGCTGTGCGCCACCACGCTGAAAATTATCAACGACCATTCCATGTACACATGATTACAGTCTGGCCTGTACTGGTCAACTTAAACCGGCTAACTTTGTGAGCATAGGAAGCCACACACAGGAAGCTAAACACATCAACCCTTTAAGTACGCACCAACTGGAACATATCTGTACACGCATAAACATAAATCATGGTGATACAAATGACAGCATTAAATACTTGAAATGGTGGTCAGTTTTAATGACTGGATGGAGGTGTTTTTAACAAACATAACACCTTACACTATTTCATCCAATCACAGCTGTCACATGTCTCTTCAGTTACGGCCCGACTCAGCGAGCATGCGATTCTGCTCTTAGTATAGTGCATAGACTGCGCCCCATTCACGCGTATATATACGGGCCCACATGGCGCATGAATTTTATTTGCTAACAGCTACAATTGTTTATTGTTCACGGATATGTAAAATAAATACTCAGAACTTCGGAGTTGTTCCTTGTGTACCAAATGACAGCATATTTTAACTGGCTAGTGATACCTTTGATTTAACAAAATGCGCTCTGATATTTTCACAACTTTTAACGTAATAAATAGCAGCTAAATTCCCCTCATATGCATACTGTGATATTAATTCAACGTTGAAAAGAGATTTTGCTGTTTGAACACTCGAGGGAAACTCGGCAAACTCATACCACTCATAAGATAATTGAATAATAATCACAGGCCACTAAGGTCAACCTGAAGGTCACACACACACACCTGGGCCGGAAGGGGACTCCCAAAGGAGGGTGGGGCTTAAGGGTTCAACAATCGATTAGGTCACACAAAGGTCACACCTATGTGACGTCATAAAATCAAAATGGCGGATATTCTGCTAAAACCATCCCCATGTTGGTCATGGAAATATAGACAATATTTGAGCATTACAAATGTTAAAGTAAACGTCAGAAAATCTAACTCTCTAGAATGATTATGAGCCTTTTATGCTTCTTACAGATTGAGATAAGACATACTTACCAGCTGTAGATTGGCATACAGCTGGGTATTTTTCTGAACAGTTATACCAGTCCATGGATAATATGCCACCTACATGTCGTGCAGCCAGACATTGTCTTGAAATGTCCTCACGAGTAAACTTCATTTCCACTGGTATTCCTATTAAGGAAGATATGGTACATATTTGGCATGTCCAATGCTGTCAAATTGGAAGATTATTATAAGTTGTTCTCTGGCCACGAGAGGGACATGGGTTGATGTACCCTCTATGTTTGTTTCAACCCATGGGCCCCGAGGGACCAGTGAACAACGTAATCATCTTACCGAACACCTCAATGTTATTTTTGAACTGTTTGAAGCACGGGTACTGAATCATAATAAAAATCATCACAACAACAGCCTATACTCTACTAACACGAAGTACCAAACGAAATCCCATAGTTTGGCATTTCCAGCGGGTAACATAGGAAATGTTACTTGCTTGTAAGCGGAGTACATTGATTGGCTCAGCCAATCAGAAAACGACATTTAAGTGTGAGGTAAGATAAAATTGATATGTCCAATGCCATTAATACGGATGAATATATACTTACATGCACCGTCTGTGAGTCAAGAATGACACACAATGCTATCGAATGCTGTCAACAAGGCTGAATATATGAACGCATCTGTGTGCATATTAGATTAGATCATTAGAACTAACCAACCGCTTTACCTTGATATTATAACGCACTTGGAACTACTAAATTTTACAACTGAACTTGCATGACATACATGTAAAACAAGAAACTTGAAGACAGGTTCAAATGTTCAACCAGTGACGAGGCTTATACAGATCTATAATCATACCATTAATCCATCTCCATTCTGTAACACGCCGTAAACCTATCCAGTAGGCGGCGAACTTCATCACAGTCAGAAGATTCTTTCTATTTGCGTCTGTCACTTTAACCAGTCTGCAATCACTGCGTGCTTCCTCCCATGTGCTAGCTCTATTGGCAACACATACGTTTCCAGAACAATTGGAAAACGGAAAACCTGAAATAATTAGATTACTCATAAGGCGGAATCGCATGAACTGATAACCCCCCCTGCTGACACTGGTCAAAACAAGATTGTGCAAAGAAACTACATGAAATGAACTGTTTCAAATCCATGATACCATTTTCCATTTAATCATTTACAATTGAGTAAAAGGCAATAATAGAACTGTTTAAATGCCTATGTCTATTTTTGTCAAATGCGGCATTGTCCAAATCGATCGGCATAACGTGAAAATGGTCGTACATTATACTTTAAAGGTTACTATATTCACATTCTGGATGCCAGACTACAATGGTAGAGGACTATATGATTTAACATGTGAGGGTAGTCCATAGTTTTCCTTAAAGTTGTGACCACCTCCGTGGTGTAGTGGTTAGAGCGTCCGCCCGGAGAGCGGAAGGTCGCGGGTTCGATCCCAGACCGCGTCATACCAAAAGACGTTAAAATATGGTACTTGTTGGTCCCTGTCTGGCGCTTGGCATTAATGGGTACAACAAGGACTGGTCGGCCCGGAGTCTGAGTGGGGTATTCATGCTTCACTGCGGCATGGTATCTCAGTGAGCTAGCACTATAAAACCAGCTTAAGTCTGGGCTAGTACAAGCAGCCGCATATACACATACACACGCATGCACGTCGTCATATGAGCGAAATATTCTTAAGCACGACGTTAAACCCAATTTCACCTCACCTCACTTCACGTTAAAGTTGTTAACGACATTCAGGTAAAAACAAATTGCCAGAAATTGTAATTGAATGTCAAAATACCATCCGTAATGCCTTGCGACAGGCAGAGTAACAACACGTGCGATCTTCTGACAATTTTGCTTTGATTCGGCCAGGGTTCGATCCACAGACCTTCCACTCTCCAGGCATCACTCTATCCTCTAGACCACCCAGGCGGTGTCATATCGAAGGCCCAAAATCGAACCCCTACGTGGGTACATAAAGTGACGCCTGTGTCCTGCGGGATCATAGACATCCCCTAATTAGGATTCTTGGTCAACACCAGGCCCGAAAACAAGAGTTTACCTGTGGCTTCTTCCGCCTATTGTTGACACGTAAATGTAAATGACGAAACTAAACAACTGCGGGTTATACCTTGTGCATACATTTCTCTATGTCATCTTAGGGGCGGTGGGGTAACCTAGTGGTTAAAGCGTTCGCTCTTCACGCCGCAGGCCCGGGTTCAATTCCCCACATCGGGAAGCCCATTTCTGGTGCTCCCCGCAATTATATTGCTGGAATATTGCTAAAAGTGGAGTAAACCCTAACTCACTCACTCCCTCACTCACTCACTATGTCATCATAGCTCAAATAGAAAAAAAGACCATCTAGCTTCTTATCCATGTATCACAATATGCTATATCGTGACAGGCAAAACCTATAGTATTAATTATCACATATACCTGTAGTTTTCTTGCATGCAGAGAATTTCTTGGTCTTCTCGCAGTCCTCAGTCAAATGGTATGATAAGTAGTCCTGTTTTTTATTGGTATGCCTGTTTTTCTCTGCATAGCCACACCTCCCAGATGGTGAGATGTTAACGTTCGTCGTCTTATCTACAATAATAATCGTTTGATGGGCATTCCATAAGTTGGCGAGTCAATGTTAAAGCATACGACGTTCTGAATAACAACTTCTTCAAAGTTTCGGTGTAGATTATTACACCGTTTTCAAGCTCTAAACAAACTATATCTCAATTTTCTTGGACCAAAGTACATTCACTTTAGTACTAAACAGCATGTGCAAACAACGTGAAGAACAGAATATTTAAATTGTATAAAAACTGCTCAAAACACATAATACATGCTAACTTCCACGCCCCTATGTTCTACCTCAGGAATGGTTTGGTTTGGATGTTGTTTAACGCCGCACTCAGCAATATTCCAGCCATATGGCGGCGGTCTGTAAATAACCGGACCTGGGCCAGACAATCCAGTGATCAACAGCACGAGCATCGATCTACGAAATTGGGATACGATGTCATTTGTTAACCAAGTCAGCGAGTCTGACCATCCGATCCCGTTAGTCGCCTCTTACGACGAACACGGGTTGTTTTAAAACAGGTCTAATCCGAATCTTCATGGGTAACTTAAAATGTAACACATGTTATATTTGGGATTACACTTTCTTAGTAAAGTACAGAATATTGTAGTCTTGTTGGGTTGTGTCCCATCCGGGATTCCAACCCACACCCTCAGAGTCAGGCACCTAATCGCCAGCACACAAAGTCAGCCGCCTAACCCGCTCAGCCAACGTTAAAAAAAGTACTAGAGTCTGTTCTTTACTAAGAAAGTAATCCTAAATATAACATATGTTACATTTGACCACTTTCTAAATGGCATTCAATAATCACAACCTAAAATGGTAATCTGTTCTTCTGTTGTAGCAATAGCAATTCTGTTGTAGCAATAAGTTATGTTGTAACACAAAGTTCTGTTGTAGCAATAAGTTATGTTGTAACACAAAGTTCTGTTGTAGCAATAAGTTATGTTGTAAAACAAAGTTCTGTTGTAGCAATTAAGTTATGTTGTAACACAAAGTTCTGTTGTAGCCTAAAGTTATGTTGGAACACAAACATCTATTGAAGCAATACGTTATGTTGTAACACAAAGTTTCAGATCAGTTGATGTGCATCGGGCGATCACATACACGATTCATTCTTCTTGCAAAATGCAGTGTTAACGAGTGTTTACAGTCATACATAATTGTATTTAGAACTTTATGAGTAATCAAGCATGATTTTCAAAAGGACGGTTCGAACAAACATGAACTGATTTTCTGCTGAAAGTCTTTAAGATCAGTTCAAGGAAGTTGTAATCTGCTTAAAGTGAGTACAGTTTCAGGCACCGTTAAGCAATATTCCAGCAATGGCACGACGGGGGACCCAAAAATGGGTTCGCGCATTGTACCCATGTTGTAAATCGAACCCGGTGTTCGGCGTAACGCGTGAACGTTTTAACCACTAGGCTATCCCACCGCCCCAATCTGCTTAAAAGAGAGAGCATATGGTTTAATAACCGATAGCTGTTTGGTTTGTTGTTGTTGTTGTTGTTGTTTTGGGAGTTGTTTATTTGTGTACATACTATTGTCTCAAATTTACCTATTTTATAAGCCTATCAATTAGAAATTGTTTTATATATTATATATTTTATGAAAGGAGTAATCTTGTAAGGCGATGTACTACTACTTTACCTCTCCGATATACGGTCACCGTTGTGTCATCGCCACACAGGTCATTGTAGTCCCCTGGACATCGGATCTCTGTCGCCCTCCTCTTGTGGACAATTTTCAACTTCAGCTGTGTGCTCAGGAGGCCGAGACAATAGCAATTATATCCCTGGTTTAAAAGTACAGTCAATGCAATAGTGTGAGAGAAGTGAGTTTAGTTTTTCACGCCAAGACTCAGCAATAATTCTTAAAATATTACAGAATTATGCTTGAAAGTAATGGGAATGGGTCATTGATTTTGTAAATGACATGAAGGGAGGGGTCACTTACTTTTTACATAAATGTTGGGGAGGGGGGGTTGGGGGTCATGCGTACTGTACATGCTCCTCCATACAAATCATCATCACCCTGGTCTTCGGCTTGAAGAGCGTACGTTTTAACCACTAGGCTACCCACATACAAAACAGTTGCTACACAATAAATCAAACTAAAGCGCCTTAGCTTTAAACATAACAATGAAATTATGCAATAACGTTACCTACCTTTAGTCCGAAAAGACCATAATAGCTTCCACATGACAGACGACAAGTAAATGCCGAGTTGTTGTCTGGAGTAAAACGCGTTGCGTTTGCTGCCCTCGTCGGTGGAGATGTACCCGACCCTGGTGTAGTATCTGGTGTTGTTATCTGAAACAACAGACATCGGACAAACATTAGGTAAAAGGTGCACTCTGAAATTTATAAAACAGCTATCCTGAATCATTCACTAAATATATAGACTAATAGTCGTTAGCCTATTCCAGTTTGATTGAAATCTTGGAGATAGTTTTCATGATGTAATTTCATATTATTAAAGCAGATGTCAATTAGGGTTGGGTATCGCCAAAATGTTCAATTATTAGATATATTGTGATATGTGTTGGCGTATTGCAATATGTATTGCAATATATTGTGAAAGTGTAACACTTGGGTTAAGGTAATGAAATTACTGTTTCCTTTCGTTTGAAACAATGCCAATGGCCACTGCAGGAATTAAATGTATTTGAACAAGAGATCAATTGAAAATGTTTCTGAAGACTTCGCTCTAAAGTTTGGAACTTGAGAAAAAGCATCTGCAGCGGAGTCCGCCATTTTGGTTTGCCGGTACCAATCTAATTTTTTTATTTATTTAGTTTAAAAGTCACGCAAATGCAATTATGTGAATAATAAACATTCTCAAAACCATTAATGTATAATAATATATAGGAAATACAAAGGTTATTAGTAATTTTGACTACATCACGGAAATTACCGATGGTATCGGGTGAATCTGTTGCGAAAAGTGTACCGCAATGTATCGTATTGTGAAGTTCGATTTGCAATATACCGGTTAACCGGTATTATCGTCTTTGTAGTCTTGGGAGGTAAGCAAAGTTTGGGAGAGGTTTTACCTGTCCATATCAAAGACGAATACTGAAAGCCGCCAACCCAGTACACCTTGTTCTCATCGAGTAGGTTTGTCAGATCATCCAGGCTACTTTGCTTCCGAGGTACAAACAGGTGCCCGCCTGATCTAGTACAAACGGTATTGACGGCGGCCCACCAGGAACTTGTGTTTTCCGTTTTGTAATTGTCATAATTAAGCCAGAGAGCTGAAACAGTGAATGAGTGAGTGAGTTTAGTTTTACGCCGCTTTTAGCAATATTCCAGCAATATCACGTCGGGAGACATGAGAAATGGGCTTCACACATGTTACCGTGTGGGGAATCGAACCCGTGTCTGCGGCGTGACGAGCAAATGCTTTAACCACTAGGCTACCCCATCGCCCCAGCTGAAACAGAAGGGTGAGACGTGTTATCTAATACAAGGCATAATCAGTATATCGTACAGTCAAACACCGCCCCAGCTGAAACAGAAGGGTGAGACGTGTTATCAAATACAATGCGTAATTAGTATATTGTACAGTCAAACACCGCCCCAGCTGAAACAGAAGGGTGAGACGTGTTATCTACTACAAGGCGTAATCAGTATATCGTACAGTCAAACACCGCCCCAGCTGAAACAGAAGGGTGAGACGTGTTATCTAATACAATGCGTAATTAGTACAGTGGAAACCGCCTAAGTAAAGACCGCTTAACTAAACAGACCTGATAAGTAAACAATTTTCTTTGGTCCCGGCAAATTTCTTCATTAATTATCATTATTAGAGTCTGGTTAACTGAACTCGGATAAGTAAACGATACCGCTTAACTAAACGTCTCTCACGGTCCCTGGAAGTAAATTACTTAACAAAAGAGACTGGATAACTAAATTAGCGATCACCACATAATCCGACATGAGGGGTAGTCGTGTCAGTCTCCAGTCAAACAAACATCCTACTTACAGCTCGCTGGCGTCATGCAGTTGACAATACACTGACAACTGGACACCAGCCCTGATAAGTTGTTCATTGTTACATATGCATACATATACATGCATATGGTTGTCATTTGCAGGTTTTTATAAGTTTGGATAAGTAAAATACCTGATAAGTAAACAATTTTGGCGAGTCCCTTGAGATTTTACTTATCAGGTTTCCACTGTATATTGTACAGTCAAACACCGCCCCAGTTGAAACAGAAGGGTGAGACGTGTTATTTAATACAAGGCGTAATCAGTATATCGTACAGTCAAACACCGCCCCAGCTGAAACAGAAGGGTGAGACGTGTTATCTAATACAAGGCTAATACGCGTAATCAGTATATCGTACAGTCAAACACACGCCCAGCTGAAGCAGAAGAAGGGTGAGGCGTGTTATCTAATACAAAGTAATCAGTATATCGTACAGTCAAACACCGCCCCAGCTGAAACAGAAGGGTGAGACGTGTTATCTAATACAAAGGCGTAATCAGTATATCGTACAGTCAAACACCGCCCCAGCTGAAACAGAAGGGTGAGACGTGTTATCTAATACAAGGCGTAATCAGTATATCGTACAGTCAAACACCGCCCCAGCTGAAACAGAAGGGTGAGCCGTGTTATCTAATACAAGGCGTAATCAGTATATTGTCACAGTGTGGTCTTACATGTTTTAGGTTTGATAATACAAACATCCAAATCGCTGACAAGGTCAAATACCTTGGTGTGATTATCGACTCAGATGTGTCACTGGATGATCACGTTTCCCATCTAGTCCAGAGCTGCTTTGCTCAGTTGCGTACTATTGGACACACAGGGGTTCGAATCACTGTTTGGACAATAATTTTTAAAAATAAAAATCTAGATTTTTGCAACCGTATATTGTTTTTATATGTTATGAGTAACTTATATTTCAAATTTGAACGAAATCGGTGAAGAAATGGATTTTTTAGAAAATTCTCCCGCTTCACTCATTTCATAAAATACACAAGGGATGACACTCACGATGCTCAGAGCATGATCGAAAACGGCACGGCGCGACTATTTTAACGTGCGTTCGATCAAACCTTACGTTTTTCACAAAACAACGTGTTGAGCGTGTAGATTATTCTTTTGGCCTTCTGCTCATCGTATTTAGTTCGTCTAACTGCATTTCATATTTGACCACTGACCCTCGCATTACCACTACCCTCCGTTTTGAACAAACGTCTGGCCGCCCTTCGGGAAACATCGACACTGTCCGAAACTCTCGGATTGACTCGGAACACAAAACGGCTCTCATTGGTCAATTTCCACGTGTGCAATTATAGCGGAATATTGTTTTGACAGTTGATATGTTTGGAAAACTCGAAAATGGTTTTAGAACTTCTGTCATGGTGAGTAAAATTATTTTAGGTGGTGAATGCAATAAAATGAAAATCTGACAGCCTTATAAAAAATGTCAAGCACGCAAATCGGAAAATATTTCACTTCTGTAAATTCATAGATTATTTTTAGATTTAACATGTAATATGATAGGTCAACAACATTTTCAGTTATATCCAATGACTTCCAATTCAATATCAATTCATGATGATTGTTGATTTAATATTCAATATTTCATACAGTTTCCACAGTATAATACAACACACACAAACATTTCACATGTTGGTACTTGTATTCAATAATACATTTTCAATCAGTAATACCTGCCTACATAGTGAGACATCCTTACGATAGTTGAACTTATTGCCGCCATCCTCATGTTGCGGAACATAGTCAAATAGGCTTTTTGCTGCATTGTGAAAGTAATCAAAATTACATCATTCTGTCATTTCCCTTGTATAGGAGAATTTCTAAAATTTGAAAAACTCTTATAGAAATACTTGTGACTCAAGTTCAGTCAAAAAACTCAAGCATTATCAACAATGAAACCATTAAAAATCAATTCTCAATCTCATCTATTGAGTCAGTCATATATGAATTACATTTTAACTTCTTAATCATACCTGTATTACCTTACCCCATTAGTCAACATATTCATATATACACAGCAATATTGTAAAACTGACTGCAGTTATTTAAGTCAAAATATATATGCTTGTTGGAAAATATCAAGAAACATTTTGAAATTATGTCATTTCTTCAGTAAAAAATCATAAAAAACGGTTACATGAATTCACTTTTCAATCCTAAAAGTAATATATTCCCCCTGAAACAATCAAAATGCTACAAACTGCAACATCAATTATACGATAGGGTGCATCATTAGAAAACCTTTGAAGTAAGGTGCATCACTTCACAAGATGATTTTTAACATGGAAGTAAAACCTGGTGGCTCAACTAGCTGGCAGTGGCTCAACTAATCCCTTGCCTACCTTCATGAACTACAGAGTCCATGGTTCTATTTTTGTTGTTGTTAATGTTTTCAAGATTCCTATGTTTAAAAGGTCAGGCTTTGAAATTTTTCTCACAGGAAAGAACTTTCTGTGCTAGTTCAGTAGCAATAACTTTCTTGAGAGAACTTCTATTCACTTTAACTTCATATGCCAAACAGAGCTCAAGAAATTTTGCCTTGGTAAACTTTCGAGAATCAAATTAGTTTGGGTTCACTTTGAAAATGCTTGTGGGAAGCAAGATAGCTTTTCATCTTTCAAATAGTTTTCATTACCCAGTTACGTTTGTTCCTATTTGTTCCTGGATAAACCCTATGGATGGTCTCAAAATTAATAAAACAATCAAACACATTTTTTCTGTTATCTATCAATGCATTTCATTGTCCATAATGATAGATTACATAATTACCATATACAAACTGAATCTTTACTTACATATTTATTTCCCATTTCTATAAAACACTAAATTTGTCATGAATATTTCATAACTCCAACAGTTCTTATATTGCTAGTATTGTACATGAGATGACAAATGATGTTGGAAAAAGAGTAGAGTTTATCAACACAAAAAAATTGCATTGGTGATTGCAAACTAAATATTGTGAAATAATATGAATTCCTTAAGGTGAAACAAATTTATCTAAACTTCTGGAACACTTTCACAAACATAAAATTAAACTACATTTCTGTTAAAACCATTCACAATCAGATGTAGTCTACAAATAATTCATATACAGAATCAATTTGTTGGAGTAACCCTCGAACATTGATGTCTTTTTTATATGAAAGTTTTGTGTTTATAATAAGAAATATTTTCAATATACACATATTTGATTTACATCTGTCATTATGTGAGGCAGATGTTTGTCACTGGGGAATTCTATGGACAATAGATTACTATACATTCATACTTCGTGCCGTTTTCGATCATGCTCTGAGCATCGCGAGTGTCATCCCTTGTGTATTTTATGAAATGAGTGAAGCGGGAGAATTTTCTAAAAAATCCATTTCTTCACCGATTTCGTTCAAATTTGAAATATAAGTTACTCATAACATATAAAAACAATATACGGTTGCAAAAATCTAGATTTTTATTTTTAAAAATTATTGTCCAAACAGTGATTCGAACCCCTGTGATTGGACATATCCGACCATATCTCACCACCGAATCTGCCACCACCCTTGTCCTGTCTCTAGTTATGAGCAGGATTGATTACTGTAACTGTCTTCTCACTGGTGCCACTAAGACACAGATAAGGAAACTTCAGCGTGTGCAAAACGCTGCTGCACGTATAGTGACCCAGTCACGTAAATCTGATGACGCTCTGAAACTCCTACATTCTTTACACTGGCTGTCCATTCACTATAGGATTCAATTCAAGCTTCTGTGCCTCACTTTCCGCTGTCTGTCTGGATCTGCCCCTTCGTATCAGTCCCTCACACAGCACCGCCCATGTCGCTCTCTCCGTTCACAGGATAAACGTTTCCTCGTTATCCCCACTGTGAGGACTTCTACGTATGGTGAAAGGTCCTTTTCGTATGCAGCCTCTACAGCCTGGAATCAACTACCTCAATATCTACGTGACTGCACAGAACTTTCTAATTTTAAATCTTAACTAAAGACTCACTTTTTCAGATTAGCTTATGATTGTTAACGATAATTCATTGCATTGTTTCCATGTATCTATCTAATCTTTTATTCTCTCCTATAGTCTGTTTGTATGTACATCTATGTCTTGCGCTTTGAGCATGTTGTACATGGAAAACAGCGCATTACAAGCATGCTATTATTATTGTACAATCAAACACCGCCCCAGCTGAAACAGAAGGGTGAGCCGTGTTATCTAATACAAGGCGTAATTAGTATATTGTACAGTCAAACACCGCCCAAGCTGAAACATAAGGGTGAGCCGTGTTATCTAATACAAGGCGTAATCAGTATATTGTACAGTTAAACACCGCCCCAGCTGAAACAGAAGAATGAGACGTGTTACCTAATACAAGGCGTAATCAGTATATTGTACAGTCAAACACCGCCCCAGCTGAAACAGAAGGGTGAGCCGTGTTATCTAATACAATGCGTAATCAGTATATTGTACAGTCAAACACCGCCCCAGCTGAAACAGAAGGGTGAGCCGTGTTATCTAATACAAGGCGTAATCAGTATATTGTACAGTCAAACACCGCCCCAGCTGAAACAGAAGGGTGAGCCGTGTTATCTAATACAAGGCGTAATCAGTATATTGTACAGTCAAACACTCATGTGTCGAACCGACGGTTGTGTCGAAGTATATGTTTGGTCCCTTCGTATTCTCAGTTTAGTTATCATTTCGGTTATGTCGAGCATCGGGTAATGCGAAATATTTGCGCAGATACTTCGACACAACGGTGTTTAAGTGTATATAATCTGTAAGCGATGACCTTTATGTCGGAACATGTGTAAATAGACCCCTGATGCCAGTGGTGGAATTGAAAATAATCTGTAATTTAAGTTATATTGGGGATTACACTTTCAAGTACACATTCCAGTACCTGTTTACACAGTCAGGAAAGATTGAACTGGTTTAAACATTAATGTTTCGTTTGACTACATACTGTATGCTTTCCTATAAGAAAACAATGCAGTGGTTAATTTATCTCATTATTAGTTTTGGGATTACACTTTCTCAGTAAAGTACAGATTCTAGTACTTTCGTTGGGTAGAGTCCCATCCTGGATACGAACCCACACTCTCAGACACCTAATCGACAGAATAGAAAGCCAGCAATCTAATCCACTCAAAAATCAAAGTCTGTATCCATACATTATTTCATATCGTCGAATAGAAACATGATACTCCAGTCTCACTGGGTATGTACTTGTGATTTGATATAGTGAAGAAGTGAAGTAGTAAACCGTACTCACATATTTGTCCGGAACAAAGAGAGACACTCCACAAAAACAGGCACACCACATGAATCAACATCTCAACTGAGTCAACAGTCAAACGACACTTCGCCCAACATGGCAGTTCGTGATATGTGTAGTCAATGAAATGGCATTAATGCCGTGTCTCATGTATTGCGTTATGTGCATTACATTTAGACTGGCAGCTTCCTTCCTCATTCATTTGAAAGATTTGTATCATGTCAAGTCATGCATAGTTATCATTGTCTTCAACACTAACATTTCTCAAAGAGTCGAGCTGTGGTCTCTATCTCATCATGTTGAATATATACGCATACACGTATAGCAGGTATCACATAAAGGGATAGGACCGCCTCCGTGGTGTAGTGGTTAGAGCGTCCGCCCGGAGAGCGGAAGGTCGCGGGTTCGATCCCCGATCGCGTCATACCAAAAGACGTTAAAATATGATACTTGTTGGTCCCTGCCTGGCGCTCGTCTTTAATGGGTACAACAAGGACTGGTTGGCTCGGAGTCATTATAATGTGTCTGAGTGAGGTATCCATGCTTCACTGCGGCATGGTATCTCAGTGGGCTAGCACTATAAAACCAGCTTCAGTCTGGGCTAGTACAAGCAGCCGCACATACACATTCACACGCATGCACGTCGTCATATGCGTGTGTATATTCTCAAGCACGACGTTGAACCCAAATTCACCTCACCTCACATAAAGGGGTAGACGGATGTTTCGATGGATGAATGGTATTTCTATACTGAACCAGCAAACAGGCTGAGCCGTACAAATAGTATCAATGGAAATATGTTCATAATCTTTGCAAAACACATCACATGCTCATGTAGAAGACAAGCATTGTCTGGTAAAAGGAATGCCGTAGTCAATGTGCATTATCAGCTCCTTGAGAAGTATACAACTTTCGAATGAATGAAAACCATTTACGTTAAAATCACTGCACTGTCACGCGATGAACAAAATATATCTCAAGAATGTTTATACCTATGCTCTACATTTACCTGCATATAATTATAAATATGTGTTCCAGTGACAACTACTCGAGAAAATATATATAAGGAGATGGTCAGTTCGAAGCTATTGTTTATTAAGCAAGGATATAATACATATACGTTGAATTACATATGAATTAATGATCTCTATTTCTTCCAGTTACTCCGGAGAGTGACACATGTTCGCCACCCCTTCAACATAACATATTTACAAAGGTATCATAAAGAAAAATGAAATCTTCACAAAGCCACATATTTACATGATCGTTGTGAGAAATACGTCACTGCCTGTAAGATCACTGTCTATAGATAAAGCAGTGATCGCAGGCTCCAGGAGCTTATGTCATGTGATGCACATCAACTGTCAAGGCTCATATTCTCTACCATAGGGGTTATGCCACCTAGTAATTCACAATTTTGGCTTCGTCATCTGCACATTCTTCGATACACATGTACCGTTGGAGGCTTCATGTTTCAAATAGATGCTTATAAAGAAAGTTTCTTGCTAAAGCCGTACAATATGCTAGTTGGTGCTTTATTATGTCCTCGCACTCTTCATTACATTAAACACTGGAGACAATTCAGGGATACTGAAGGTATTAATAAAGGTAGCATACAATACAAGCACATGAGTAACTAAACAATCACTTACCTATCCTGGTGAGGCAGGGCGTCCTTCATAGCCCCGTTCCACTTAAAACCAACCTACAAACTGTTGCTGTCCGCATGACTCTGAACATAGGGTTTACACTATGTTCCCTCTATCTCCCTCCCACCTCAACTGTTCGCCTATCAGATCTTCAGAACTTATATGATCAACTCCCGAAGCCCTGCATAATCATGGGCGACTTCAACAGCCATAACCCCCTATGGGGGAGTACTGATACAAATAGTAAGGGAAAGGTCCTTGAAGAGTTTCTCTCAAATAATGATGTATGCATCTTCAACGATGGATCAAACACCTACCTCCATCCTGCCACTGGATCATACTCTGCTCTCGATCTATCACTTACAGATTCTAATCTTTTAAATGAGTTCGAATGGTCGGTCCATGACGACCTTTGTGGAAGCGACCACTTCCCAACAATTCTTACTCCTATCAACCAAATTTTACTAAGGCCAATTGGCCTTTATTCCAAACCCTATGTTCAGAAAACTTAAGCCGGACAACTTCAGGAATGTTCCTGACCCCATTGAACTATTTTCAGACGTCCTAAATGCCATCGGAGACAAAACTATTCCAAAGTCCTCTGCAAACCCGCACATACGCAAACTATGGTTTGATACAAACTGCAAACAAGTTAGGAAAAATAGGAGGAAGGCGGAAAAATATTTCCGACAACATCCTACAGTGCATAACCTGAATGCTGTTAAAATGACAAATGCCAGGGCAAAACGTACCTTCAAACAAACTAAACGCCGGTCATGGAGGAAATATGTGTCAAAAATCAACTCCCGCACACCCATGTCCAAGGTGTGGAACATGATTCAAAAGATTAAGGGCAAAGGGTCAAAATCAGGAGTTCACCACCTGAAAGATGGTGACTCCCTCCTAACAAATAAATCTGAAATTGCAAACAAACTTGGCGAAACTTTGGCAAACCACTCCTCCTCATCAAATTATAACCCTCAGTTCCAGAAATACCAAACCAACCAAGAAAAGAAACCAGTCAATTTTAACTCTGATAATGGGGAGGATTACAACGAAACGTTTTCCCTCCATGAATTACGTACTGCCCTAGGACAGGCTCACGACACTGCGGCAGGAGCTGATGAAATCCATTATCAGCTTCTGAAACACCTCCCTGACACAGGCTTGGAAACACTCCTAAATATATTTGATGACATCTGGACATCCGGACACTTCCCCCCTTCGTGGCACAATGCCATTATCATCCCTATACCAAAACCCGGCCGCGATCATACTGATCCCTCAAACTACCGTCCTATATCACTAACTAGCTGCGTTTGCAAAACCAAGGAGCGCATGGTCAACAATCGATTAATCTGGTACTTGGAGACCAATAACCTCCTCAGTGACCTCCAATGTGGTTTCCGAAAAAACCGAAGTACCATTGACCATCTGGTGCGTCTGGAATCATTCATCAAAAACTCCATTTTCAACAAACAACATACCGTATCTATCTTTTTCGACTTAGAAAAAGCATATGTTACAACGTGGAAACATGGTATCCTAAAAGATTTACACGAGTTTGGATTGAGGGGTAGACTACCTCAATTCATATCTCAGTTTTTAAATAACAGACAATTTCAAGTTCGGGTGGGTTCCACACTGTCTGACTATTTCCACCAAGATCAGGGCGTCCCCCAAGGCAGCATCCTGTCTGTCACACTTTTTAGCATCAAAATTAACAGCCTCACTAACGTTCTGAACAGTTGCGTTGATGGGTCCCTTTTCGTGGATGACTTCAATATTTCATGACGTGGTAAGAACATGCACGCAATAGAAAGGCAGCTACAACTCTGCCTTAACAAAATCCAAAAATGGGCCAATGAAAATGGTTTAAAGTTTTCAAAATCCAAAACAAATTGTATTCACTTTTGTCGTAAATACAAACCACACAAGGATCCAGACCTAACTTTAGATGGTACTCCCATCAAGGTAGTAGAAGAGGCCAAATTCCTTGGACTCATATTCGACCGCCACCTGACATTCTTACCACACATAAAATATTTGAAAACAAAGTGCTTGAAGGCTCTAGACTTGCTAAAAGTAGTCTCAAATACAGAGTGGGGAGGGGATCAGACCACCCTACTTCACTTGTACAGATCATTAGTTCGCAGTAAACTAGATTATGGCTCCATTGTCTACGGTGGAGCCTGCAAAAGCAATTTAGAAAAATTAGACTCTATCCACCACCAAGGGCTGAGGCTCTGCCTGGGAGCTTTTAGGACCTCTCCGGTAGACAGTCTATATGCGGAGGCCAATGAACCTTCCCTTGAACAACGCCGCATTAAACTCTCACTGCAGTATATCACTAAATTTCGTTCAAATGAGTCCAATCCAGCATACAATTGTGTTTTCAACCCACTCTATGAAAACTTATTTCCTAAACTGCCAAGCCTGGTTCCACCACTTGGAATCAGGATCAAACCACACATATCTGCAGCTAAAATTGATCTCAACATCATTGCACCATACCGACTTCTGTCCTCACCACCATGGCAAATGGTGAAACCACAGGTCGATCTTACCCTCACCAAACTCAAAAAGTCTGAAACAAATCCCTTGGTGTTCCAACAGGAATACAACCAGTTACGTTCGAAGTATAACACTCACAGATCCATTTTCACAGACGGATCCAAGGACGATGGCCAAGTTGCCAGCGCTACAGTCATCGGAGCCAAGACTGTCTCCTCTAGGATCCCCGACAACAGTTCCATTTTCACCGCTGAAGCCAAAGCTATCTTCTCAGCTTTGACCTACATTCAACAGCAAATCATTCCAAAAAACTTCATCGTTTTTACAGATTCATTATCCTGCCTTCAAGCACTTCTAAACGTGACTTCAAGTCACCCAATCATCCTGGACATACTAGAACTGTACAACGACCTTTCTACTGGCCAATATGACATCGTCCTCTGCTGGTTGCCAGGTCACGTCGGCATAGCAGGTAACACTAAGGCCGATGCTGCAGCAAAACCAGCTCTTGAAAAGCCCCTATCTCCACTGCTAATCCCGTACAGTGATTTCAAACCCACTATCAGAAGCTATACTCGGGACCTGATGCAAAAAGAGTGGGACACTCAAGTAGGAAGAAACAAACTCCATGAATTGAAGCCAACAATCGGTTATACCTACTTGGGTTGCCAGTCAAGACGTGATGAAGTAATTTTACGACGATGTCGTGTTGGCCACAGTCGATTTACACATGACTATCTGCTAAAAACGGATGGGGATGGACCCCCCATATGTCTCTCCTGCGATGAGGCTTTCACCGTCAAGCATATTCTGCGTGACTGTGTGGACTTTACATCTGCAAGGGACTGGCATTATCACGCAACCAATCTGAAAGATCTGTTCTCCAGCGTGAGCGCTCATCTGATTCTGAACTACCTGAGGGAAGTTGATCTATATCATAAATTGTAACTGTGTAATGTCACTAACGAATTTACCTGCTTTTCAATTTAGTGCTATGACATTCTCTGTTCCAAAATGACAATGTAATGAATGTGTGTCTTTGAAACGAAACCACTTTGTACTTACAATGTATATTAATGCAGACTTGTTCTCGTCACTATATGGCTGGAATAATGCCGATGTGACGTAAAGCCCAACTCAACCCAACCCAACCCGACGATAGTTAATAAAAGTAATTATTTCTCTCCCGTGGAAGATACCGTTGTGTAATATTTTTACGTCAGTATTACACTAGAGTAATACCGCTAGGCGTATGACGTCATAATGTTTTACAGTTATGACGTCACAATTCTAATACCTCTGTCACAATGGTATTAGGCTTTGCTTGACACGCGGAAAGCTCAGAGTCATCACACTGTAAGCAATTTCTATCAATTTATGTTGGAGAGTAATAAACAGAATGCTAAACTCGCTTCCGTGAAATACCATTTTTATTAAACTCGTGAAAGAATTAGTATCAAACTCGCTTTTGCTCGTTTGATACCAAATCATTAACTCGTTTAATAAAAATGGTATTTCACGGAAGGTCGTTTAGTGTCCTCTACATAGATATGTAGTAAATGTAACAACTACCCCGTGGATGAAGGATGGATGAATCAGGGATTTATACTACCCCGTGATAATTTAGGCTTATATTTGGTCCCTAACAATCCACTCTGCTCGCAATATGCAACCAAATGGATCGATGGTTAAGCTGGGTGGCTTGGTTGATTGCGTCACTTCGTGCCCTGACGGTGTGCTTTGTTGCTCACTGTATCGATCACTGGAATAACTGGTCCAGGCTTAACTATTTATTCGGCGCTGGACAGCAAACAAAAGCTCAATGGCGTAAATATTTCTGTTTGTTTTCAGATCATTTACAGGTTTCCTTGACAGAGACCGAATAATGCCGTTTGTTCTTGGACACTCAAGAGAAGGAGCGACATCCGACTGACGTCATCAAATTGTTCCCTGAGGATTGTGATAGGACTTATTGTCAGTATCAGTCATCAATTCCGTCTTCCACACCCAGTTTATTACATATGAGCTACCATCATTATTGATACAATGTAAATTATTTTCTGTAACGTGTCTTGCTAATCTCAAGATATGTCTGTCAGGAGTGAGTGAGTTTAGTTTTACGCCGCACTCAGCAATATTCCAGCTATATGGCGGCAGTCTGTAAATAATCGAGAATTGGGACCAAACAATCCAGTGATCAACAGCATGAGCATCGATCTACGCAATTGGGATACGATGACATGCGTCAACCAAGTCATCGAGCCTGACCACGTACCCGATCCCGTTAGTCGCCTGTTTCAACAAGCATGGGTTACTGAAGATCAAGTCTAACCCGAATCTTCACGGGGTGTCTGTCAGGGGCATTTATCATGATCATTTCTGATACAAGAAGGCGAAATATAGACAGTCAAGTTGGAAACTACATAGAATGAATGCATGTCTGTTTTGTATTCACGAAAAGATTACAAGGAATAGTAACGTATTCATGCGCCATTTATTAAACGCCATCGTCAAGGAA